TCCTCTTCCTTCTCCTCCTCCTCCTCCTCCTCCTCCTCCTCCTCCTTCTCTTTCTTCTTTTTTCCAATAGGGTCTCATTATATAGCCCAGGCTGGGACACATTCACTTTGTAGCCTAAAATGGCCTTAAACTCCCAATCCTTCTGCCTCGGCCTCCCCCATGCTGATTATAGGTGTGGCGTTACAAATGTGCACTGCTCTGCCCAAAAGTCCTCCTGTTTCTAAGAAGCTTGTGTCAGAAGAAGTCGTTGTCTCCTAGCTACTGAATGCTGCAGGGCATGCTACTCCAATACCAAGTGGCTGTACTGTCACTGTCTATGGCTCTGTGAGGGGTATGTGTATTAAGACTGGATGTTCAAGGTGCTGTGGTCATCAGCTTTTTGGAGCTACATGTTTCTGGGTCTCCCATTTGGTTATCACTTAGTACCGGAGTAGCTAGGAGATCACACTCCTGGTGACAGACTTCTTAGAAGGGCTGTCTAGCTAGGACAGTGGCTTCATTCAGCATGGTGACCTCAGAGCTTCAGCAGGGTCAGTAGGAGCCCCTTGGGCATCCTAAGCCTGGCAAACAGAAGGGACATGTATTCATGCTGGATGGTCAAACTTCAAGGCTGATCCATGTTAGTAAGGCCTCTGTGGGTACCAGGATAGGGGATATTCAGTACCTCAGTTAAGTAGCTAAGTGCCCAGGGCCATTCTCAGCTAGCCACAGTCATGTGTAGGGACATAGGAATGGGGCCAGCTTCTCAGTAAGGACACTTAACACAGAAGAAGGGCCTGCTGGGGACACTGGTCACTTTTTTTTTAGACAGGTCTTACTATGTATTCTTGCTGGGTAGACCCTTGAACTAGCCTTGAACTCACAGAGAAATGCCTGCCTCTGTCTCCCAAGTGCTGAGATTAAAGGTTTATAGCATCAGGTCCAACTGGTCACCTTTAACAGTACCACTGTCACCCTCAGTTCAGTACTAAGCTGTCATTGTAAAGTGGGGTGGCTCCCTAGCTACTCTCTGAGCAGAGGTCATGTTCAAGGTCATGATGGCATTCCACAGAGGGACCTGGTCACTGACAGTCATGCAACTACTTCATGCTGAGTGCTACACTCAAGGCCCCAGTGTCCCTTGCAAGCCTTACAAAATGTTCAGAAATATTTCCTCCTCCTAGCTGGATGCGGTGACACACACCTGTGACCCCATCATCAGGAGGTAGAGGCAAGAGGATAAGGAGTTCAAGGTCAGTCCCAGCTACATAGCAAGTTATGACTAGCCTGGACTACATAGCCTATTCTCCTTCTCTCTCTCTCCCTCTCTCCCTCTCTCTCTCTCTCTCTCTCTCTCTCTCTCTCTCTCTCTCACACACACACACACACACACACACACACTTCCTTGTTCTACATGTGAGGCATTCGTCTGAAATCACACCACACACAGCAGAGCCCAACTTCAGACCTAGCCTGTGCCTGTCTGAAGCCACAGAGAGGAAAGTTAGATTTGGTGGCTTTCAGCCCAGTTTGGAGAAACCATGAGCAGCCAGGGCTGCTGCACCAGATTGGACACTCAGGAGGTGCAGTAGAATGGGCTGCTGGTGGTCAAGCCAGATGAACCTGTGCTTCACTCCCCAGCTCCAAGTGTCTGTCCTTTAACTCCCCCGTGGGCAGGAAGCTCACTACCTGCTTATCTCCTCCTGGGCATTGCTGTCTTTGTTTCATAAGGCTCCACTCCCACCCAGTTTCATCCCACCAAGAGGGATCCTGATCGTAATGGTGGAGTTCTAAGCCTGGTCCTCAGTTTCTCAATTCTTGCAGAAGCTTCAGGAACAACTAGTTCCTATAGGAGTAGGTGTCAGGCCTCCTGGGGAGAAATTCCCAAATTCTTGTTTGTTTCTTTAGTTATACTCCCACTCTGTAGTCCTTGATGGACTAGAACTCACTCTGTAGACCAGGCTGACCGCAAACTCAGAGATCTGCCTGCCCCTGCCTCCCAAGTACTGGTCTCTGTCTTTTCTAAGCAATAGGCCTCCTGACTCAGGCTGGGATGTCCCCTTACTGTCTGTCCTCCTGTCTGTCTACAGGAAGCTGTTTATCATGCTACCATCCAGCATTTAGTGGAGGGCGTCATCTCTGGATACAATGCGACAGTTTTTGCCTATGGCCCCTCAGGTAAGGGGTTGGGCAATGTTTCCAGGAGGGTATGGGCATGGTGCCAGCAGAGGTCCCCTGCCCCTTTCTAGCGATAAGGTCTCAGGTAGACCAGGTCTCAGGTAGATAGACCAGGTTTCAGGTAGGTAGACCAGGTCTCAGGTAGATAGACCAGGTTTCAGGTAGGTAGACCAGGTCTCAGGTAGATAGACCAGGTTTCAGGTAGATAGACCAGGTCTCAGGTAGACCAGGTCTCAGGTATCCAGGGATGATCTTGAACTCCCAATCTTCCTTCCTCCATCTCCCAAGTGCTGGGATTGTAAGTATGTGTCGCCATGACTGGTTTAAGACATGCTGGAGATGGGATCCAGGGTTTTGTGTATTCTAATGACTACCAACTGAATCACATCCCCAGTCCACACACACACACACACACACACACACACACACACACACACATTTTTGGTTTTTCGAGACAGGGTTTCTCTGTGAAACAGTCTGGCTGTCCTGGAACTCACTCTGTAGACCAGGCTGGCCTTGAACTTACAGAGATTCACCTGCCTCTGCCTCCCAAGTTCTGGGATTAAAGGCGAGTGCTACCACTGCTCAGCTATATTTATATATTTTTGGTAGTGCCAGGGATTGAACCCAGGGCCTCATGCATTCTAGGCTAGTACTCTAGCACTGAGCCTCATTATAGGCACCAGGGACCTATGCACTAGGCTTTGTCATCCTCACCTCTGAAAGGTAAGAATGTTACTCCTCCTCACAGGAACGAGTGCAGGGAATAAGATAGCTGTCCCAGAGCACATAGCCATCCATCAGAAACTTTCCCAAGGCTGATGCTACATTCAACCCCAGCCTGTGATTTTCTGCTCAGGAGGATGTGAGTTTCTTCTCTGAGGTTATGAGTGATGTTCAATCAATGTTTGCAAACAGGTGGCTAAGGCAGGAAGCTCACATGTTCCATGCCAGCCTGGGCTATATAATGAGACCTTGACTCGAATAAATATGAAAAGGAAAGGAAAAAGAAAGGGCCAAGGATATAGCTGAGTTATAAGTGCTTGCTTGGTCAGGGGTCTACAGAATGAAGCCGGTTCTCTTCTCCTTGGGTGAGGACTGGAACTCTGTCTGTGTAGGTAGGGGTCTGGCTGCTCCATTCACTCACCGGTCAATGAAGTGCCTGGTTTAAGGGGAAGGACAAGCCCATGCTGTCTTTCTTGGGGACAAATGGGGAGGGGACCAGTGATATCCCCTTATAGAGACTATCTCCTGAAAGCATGCAGGGTGTCAGGCCTCTTATTGCACAGCACATTGAAGCCCCGCCCTCCTGCAGGTGCTGGGAAGACCCACACCATGCTGGGCATGGATGCAGAGCCTGGCATCTACCTACAGACCCTCACTGACCTCTTCCAGGCCATCGAGGAGACCCAGGACAACATGGAATATAGTGTGTCTATGTCTTACCTGGAGGTGAGCCGGCTCTCCTGCCTCAGTTGGATCAACTGCAGAATGGGTATAATACCAACTGCCTGTGCAGAACTCATTCTCAGTGTGTGATCTCTCAGCAGCTCAGGCTTCCAATTGGTTCTTTTAAAAATATTTTAGGGGTCTGGAGAGATGGCTCAGCAGGTAGGAGTACCAGCTGCTTTTCTAAAAGACATAGGTTCAATTCCCAGTACCCACATGGCAGCTCACAACTGTCTGTAACTCCACTTCTAGGTGATCCAACATCCTCTTCTGGCCTCTAAGGGCATTGTGTGCAAGTGTTGCACAGACATAGATGCTAGCAAACACCCATACTAATAAAATAATTTAAAAATTATTTACACTGGGCATAGTAATCCACGCCTTTAATGTCAGTACTTGGGAGGCAGAGACAGGGAGATCCCTAAATTTGAAGTCAGTCTGATCTACAGAGTGAATTCCAGAACAGCCAGGGCTACACAGAGAAACCCTAACAAAAAAGAATTTAGTTTATTTTATGTGTATGGGTGTGTTTTGTCCTGGATATGTATATGTGTGGTAGCCACAGAGGCCAAAAGAGGGTGTTGGATCCTCTGGAACTGGAGGTACAGACTTGAAATCCACTATGTGGGTTCTGGGACTTGAACCCCAGTCCTCTGCAAGAGCAGCCAGTGCTCTTAAGCCTCAAGTCATTTCTCCAGCCTCTTCTTTATGATTCTTTGCTACTTGTTCCCAACCTTTCTGTTCTGCTCCAGATTTATAATGAAGTCATCCGTGACCTCCTGAATCCTTCTTCTGGGTTTCTGGAGCTGAGAGAAGATTCTAGAGGCAGCATCCAAATTGCAGGCATCACAGAAGTATCTACCTCAAATGCTCAAGAGGTGAGGGTCACAGCCCAGCCCAGCCCATTAAGTCCTCCTTGCTTAAGTTTGCTGCACAAGGACAAGCAGGCAGGTCCAAGCTGAGCTGTTTCCTGGCACCTGAACTTGTCTGAGATCTCAGGTCTCTGCAGTCAGCTATGCCTCCTTGCTGGTGCTCCAGGCAGACATCACCTATCGATCCTGTACACTGCCCTCAGCCTCCAGGTGCAGACCCAGGCACTTCTTACACAATACTCCAGGTGAACATAGCTTGCTCCATATCCACTAGCTGACCGGATGATTGTTCCTTTACAAGGGCAAGCAGCAAAATTTCCTGCACCAGCTCCCCTCATCTCCCCCTGCCTCCCCTTCCCTCCCTTTTCCCTGTCTTTCTTTTTTAGAGACAGTGTATCTCTATGTAATTCTGGTTGTCTTGGAACTTGCTATTAGGCCAGGCTGCCTGAGAACTCACAGAGGCCCACCTGCCTCTGCCTACTGCGCACTGAAATTAATGGAGTTCACTACCACAACTCTCTCTTTCTCCATCTTTTAAAATTCATTCATTCATTATTTGTTTGTTTATTGAGTCAGGGTTTCTCTGTGTAGCCCTGGCTGTCCTGGAACTCATTCTGTAAACCAGGTTGGCCTCAAATTCAGAGATCTGCCTGCCTCTGCCTCCTGAGTGCCCCTTGTGTGCTAAAATTAAAAGTGTATGTCATCATCACCTGGCTTAGAGGACAACTTCTTTTTTTATTTTTATTGGTTTTTTGAGACAGGGTTTCTCTGTGGCTTTGGAGGCTGCCCTGGAACTAGCTAGTGTAGACCAGGCTGGTCTCAAACTCACAGAGATCTGCCTGCCTCTGCCTCTGAAGTGCTGGGATTAAAGGCATGAGCCATCACCACCAGGCTAAAGGACACCTTCTTTAAAAAGATTAATTTTTATTTTATGTGTATGGGTGTTTTATCTGTGTAAGTCTGTGCACCACACACATGGCCTACAGAGGCCGGAAGAGGGCAATGGATCTCCTGGAACTGGAATTACAGATAGTTGTGAGCTGCCATGTGGATGCTGGGAATTGAATTCTGGTCCTCTGGAGGAACAGCCAGTGCTCCTAACTGCTGAGCTTTCTCTCCAGTACCCCACCTTGTTATTTTTTTTTTTTTTAAATAGGGTCTATTATTGGTCTACAAGTTGCTAAATAGTAGGCTGCTGCCTTGGTCATCCTACTCTCTCTCTTTTTAGTACTGGGATTACAAACACATGCCATTTTGTCCAGCTTGTTTTCTTCCTCCCTCCCTCCCTCCCTCCCTCCATCCCTCCCTTCTTCCCTCCTTCCCTCCCTCCTTCCCTCCCTCCCTCCCTTCCTTCCTTCCTCTCTTCCTTCCTTCCGCATTGATTCTGGGATCTAAACTCAGTCTGTGCAGAAACCCCTTTACTAACATAGCTGTCTCTTTAGCCCTGGATTTTGTTTTTGAGACAAGATTTCACACTGTAGCCTACAGCCTGGGATTCAGTATGTAGCCCAGGCTGGGCTTATACTTACAGCAATCCTCTTGCCTCAACTTCTCAAATGTTAGGATAACAGATTTGAGCTACCGTAGCCTGAATGACAGTGACTATCAGCCTCCCCCACTCTTGCCCCATATCCACTGTACAGTCCTACCCTGGTTCCTACACAGCAGGGGCCCAGGAGAGGATTACTGCTCTGGTTCTGTAGCTGCTTGCATGGCAGAGGGGTTCACTTCCATTGCCAACCCCAACAGCTCTGCAGCTGCCTGGAGTTGTGACTTGAAAAGGGTCAGGGCTGCTCTAGACTCTGTGGAGAAGTGGTGAGTTGGGCTGGAGATGTAACTCCGTTGGTAGAGTGCTTGCCTAGCATGCATGAATCCATGGATTCCATCCTCAAGACTGTATAAACTGGGCATGGTGGCACACATTTGCAATCCCAGTTGAGGCAGAGGATCAGAAATTCAAGTTCATCCCCGTTACACAGTGAGTTTGAGTTAATCCAGACAATGTGTCTTAGTTAGGATTTCTATTGCTATGGTGAAACACCGTGACCAAAAGACAAGTTGGAAAGGTAAGGGTTTATTTGGTGTGTGGCTCCATATTGCTGTTCATCATTGAAGGAAGTCAGGACAGGTACTCTTAATAGGACAGGATCCTGGAGGCAGGAGCTGATGCAGAGGCCATGGAGGGTTTACTGCTCATGGCTTGCTCAGCCTGCACCCAGGACTACCATCCCAGGGATGGTACTACCCACCGTGGGCTGGGCCCTTCCTCATCAATCACTAAGAAATTGCCTGATAGTTGGATCTTATAGAGTCATATTCTCAATTGAGGTTCACTCCTTTCAGATAACTCTAGCTTGTGTCAAGTTGACATAAAGACTATCCACTACAGTAAGATTTTGTCTTCAAAGTGGGGGGAGGATAGATAATCCATTAGTCATGTCTGTCACTGGCAGAGGAAGGGCAGATTGGGTGCACATCAAGAATCTTCAATTCTGCAGTTGATTTAACTAACTAATCACTTCATGCCATAAACCAGGAATTGCTGCTATAAGCATCCCAGCCCCAGAGCCACCCTTGCCCCTTTTCTTGGGTCTTTCTAGATTGAATGTATGGCCACTCAGGTCTGTGATTTGCCTTGCTTTCCCTCTGCCCTCAGATCATGCAGCTACTCACCAAAGGCAACCGGCAGCGTACACAGGAGCCCACAGCTACCAACAAGACTTCATCCCGCTCCCATGCTGTACTGCAGGTCACTGTGCACCAGAAAAGCCGAGGAGGTGACCTGGCAGAGGAGGTGTGCCTTGGGAGGCTCTTCATGGTGGACCTGGCAGGCGCCGAGCGTGCAGCCCAGGTACAGCCTCTCCGAAGTGCACCCACTTTCAGATGTCATTACTGTCTTTCTACTTGGGGTCTGTCATCCTCAGTCTGAGTGGGACCTTGCCTGTCCTTGTTTAGATATGCTTTGGCACCCAGGACAGTGTTGGGCCCGGGAGAGCTGGCTGCGTCTTAGGTAATGAATCCCGCAAGCATTTAGTAAGGAAGGCAGGTAGCCAATGCTCTCAGAGGGTTGCCCTTGTGGCAGGCAGCTCATCCTGCACCTACTGAAGGTGTCCCACTTGCTGTGTGGGCTCATCTTGGGCCTGGGAAGCCCCGTGTTGGGGTGACACATGTAATCAGATAGCACTATCCAGGGAGGCCTGTGCTTTCACAATCTACAGGGCCTGTGGCAGGAGTTTTAGGGCTGAGTCCAGACAGGTTCTGAGGAGCTGGGTTGGAGTACAAGGAAAAGCATTGAAGTTCCACACGGTGGGAAGGTAGGTAGGTGTACAGTATCATGGCAGAAAGAGCTGCATTGCCACAGCCCCTTTCCAGCTTGTGGGTCCCTTGGTTTTGCTGCTGTGCTTCCTGGATGTCACCCTGTGGCCCAGGTATTCCTTCAGGCTGGGGACCCAGCTCACGCCTGGGCTAGAGGAGTCGAGTTCAGCCTTTGCAGACCCGGTGTTACCAGCAGGCAGCATTTCCCTGCCTCTCTAGCACACACACCAGAGAGTGATGCTTATTATCTCCATAGCCATAGCCCTCCCTGGCCAAGTTCAAGCCCAGCACTGTGCCTGCTTTACAGCACGGACTTGGAGTTAGTTGCAGTGGCACATGCTTGTCATCCCAGCACTGGAGAGGCTGAGGCAGGAGGACCATGAGTTTCAGGCTGGCCTGAATGACATAGTAAGACTCTGGAAACAAAAAGAAGGGGCGAGGGATGTAACTCAGGCGGTGGAGTGCTTGCCTAGCACACATGAAGCCCTGGGCTCCATCTTCAGCACTGTGTAAAACAAGGATGATACTGCATGCATTTAATCTCAGCACACAATAGTACATGTATATAATCCAGAGGTGGAGAATCAGAAGTTCAAGGCCTGTAAGTCTGTACACCACTTGTGTGCCTGGTACAGTGAAGGTCAGAAGAGGGTGTCTGATTCTCTGGAACTAGAATTACAGACACTTGTGAGCCACCATGTGGATGTCGGGCTCAGATGTGTTTGTTGGCTTCTGTATACATCTTCACCTGCTCGTTTAGTTCACGCCATTGAGTCCTCACTAAGGCCAGCTGCCTGTATGGCCCACAGGGACAGGTGTGACTTCCCAGAGCTTGCATCCTATGGGACAGTAGGTGAAACAACCCTGATCATGTGTGGAGGCAGGAGACTGCTACAGAACCTGTGCGTTAGAGGAATAAATGGGGCTGTGTTTGGGAGATCAGGTGCTGGGGCTGAGGACTCTCAGAGAGCCATCAAGGGGACCTGTAAGGTATAGGGTAAGTTTCAGGGTTGGAGGTGGGGTACTTCCTACGAAAAACCCACTCACTTGCGTTTTGTTATAAGCAGTGTTGTCTGGGTTCCAGTCTGTTTATTTCAGTTAGCTTTCCTATGTCAATCAGCTCTGTATCTCCTGAGCATGGATGCTTAATACTCTACTAGTGATATTCTGTCAAGGGGTTCTCCAGTCTTTAGGACTTGTGACCCCCCAGTACCAGGGCAGGCAGGGTCATTCCCCACTTCTTTGGACTTCAGTCCCCTCCCTGGGAGCGGGGAAGGGAAGATTATCAGTAGGAAGGACTGAGTCCCTGTTCAGCCTGGTCTCTCTGCTCAGACTCAGAACCGAGGCAAGAGAATGAAAGAGGGTGCACACATCAACCGCTCACTGCTGGCACTGGGCAACTGCATCAATGCGCTTAGCGAGAAGGGTGGCAGCCGCGCTCAGTATGTGAACTTCCGTGACAGCAAACTCACACGCCTGCTGAAGGTAGGTGCTCCTGCTGGGGGTTGGGAGGGGCCACCGTAGCTGACAATATCTTTCAGGAATTTACCGCCAGCACAGAGGCCTGGAGCCCTGAAGACATTACCCTGCTGAAGTCTGAGTGTGTGGCCAATGCCTGACTCCTCAACACCCTCCCGAGTATGGTCTATCCTCATTCACATGCACCTAGTAACAGGGGGCTCAGTACTTCCCAAGGCACTAATCCCATCATGGTAGCTGTAACCTCTGAAAAAATTTCTTTATACAGAACTTGATGCTGCCTGAATAAATAAATAAGCAGGCAGTAAATAAATCTCCCTGCGTCTTCCCTCTTGGTCTAACCTGCGCTCATCAAAGCAGCAGTCAGATGGGGAGGGCCTGGAGGAGGCCCCACTTATCCTGAGGGTCTCCTTCCCAGGCACTAACTTCACTGTGGTCCCCATCATCATCTGCCCTTCTCCCAGACCTCTGATAGTGCTGGAGGAGGGCTGGGGCCACTGGGGATGTGGGGAACACATGGCTCTCATCAACCCAATTCTGTGGTTCTCACTGAGCAGGATGCTCTGGGAGGCAACAGCCGCACAGTGATGATTGCCCACATCAGCCCGGCCAGCACCAGTTTTGAGGAGTCAAGAACCACACTGCTCTATGCCTACAGGGCAAAGAATATCAAGACAAGGGTGAGTGAAGGGGAAAGATGGCCAGCCAACCTAGCCTCTTTGTCAAGCTTCAGGCCCATTTTGACTCATAATTCCAAGTTACGGTCCACCATTTGGGGGAAATCAATGCATGTGTCATTGCTTGCTTGCTTATGCTTGGCTCATTCTTATGTAGTTCAGGACCCCATCCCCCCACCACACACATGTAGGGAATGGTGCTGCTCGCTGTGGGTACCATCAATTAACTTAATTAAGACTATCCCCCTCAGACATGCCCATAGCCATGTCCAGTGTAGATAATCCCTCTTTGAGACTCTCTTCCCAGGGGGATTGTAAGTTGTGTCCAGTTGGCAAAGCCAGTTGCCACACCCACCATGTCATCTCTCAAACCTGTCCTTCAGGACTCTTCTCACTATGCCTGACCTTGGGCACTTGTCCTTACCATCAGGTCAAGCGCAACCTGCTGAATGTCTCCTACCGAATCGCGCAGTACACTGATGTCATCTCTGACCTGCGCAGGGAAATCGAGCACCTCAAATCAAAGATTGAGAAGCAGGATAAGGAGAAGAAAAGTGACCCCAGCATCCTGGATATACAAGGTAGTGCTGAGTACAGGCTGGTGCTTCCAGCAGGCCCTGATGGCTGGGTACCCTCTCCTCCCTGGAACTCTGTGCCCAACATCCAGGTTCCATGGGCCCATTGCCTCTCTTGACCCAAGTGCCTGGCTGTGGCCATTCTGATTATTTATATTCACAGTGGCCAAGTGATCGTGCCAAAGGCTATTGTTCTTGCTTCTCTGGGAACCTCAGGCTAGTTCTAGTTTCTTGCCTATAAGATATGGGGACTAGACTACTTTATGTTCTTTTATTTTATTTTTGAGATGGGGGTCTCACTGTGTAACTCTAACTGTCCTAGAACTTACTCTGTAGACCAGGCTGGCCTTGAACTCACATAGATCTGCTTGCTTCTACATACCAAGAGCTAGCATTAAATGCATGCACCACTATATCTGGCTTATGTTCTTTTTTGGGGGGGGTTGGTTTTGAGATAGGGTTTCTTTGTGGCTTTGGAGGCTGTCTTGGAACTAGCTCTTATAGACCAGGCTGGTCTTGAACTCACAGAGATCTGCCTGCCTCTGCCTCCTGAGTGCTGGGATTAAAGGTGTGTGCCACCACCACCTGGCTCTGTTCTTTTTTTTTTTTTAATTTCATTTCATTTCATTTCTTTCTTTCTTTCTTTTTTTCCCAAGACAGGCTTTCTCTGTGTAGCTTTGGAGCCTATCCTGGCACTCACTCTGGAGACCAGGCTGGCCTCGAACTCACAGAGATCCACCTGCCTCTGCCTCCCAGTGCTGGGATTAAAGGTGTGTGCCACCAATGCCCGGCTAATTTCATTTTCTTTTTTTGGTGTGTGTGTGTATGTGTGTGTGTGTGTGTGTACACCTGTATACTTCTGCATGTGGAAGCTAAAGGTCAGTGTTGAGTATCTTCCTTACTCTCTACCTTTTTTTTGAGTTTAGGGAGAAAATTATTATTATTATTATTATTATTATTATTATTATTATTTTGGTTTTTTTCAAGACAGGCTTTCTCTATGGCTTTGGAGGCTGTCCTGGAACTAGTTCTTGCAAACCAGGCTGGTCTCGAACTCACAGAGATCCTCCTGCCTCTACCTCTCCAGTGCTGGGATTAAAGGTATGTGCCACCACTGCCCGGCTAGGGAGAAAATTATTACAGATTTATAGGTAGGAGCATGAGATTTAGACATGGTGGTTAGCCACATGGCTGACATTCTACTATATGGTAAATGAGGCAGGGGCCTTCCAAGAAAGAGTGGAAGCCAGAGCACCAGGAAAGGCATCTCAGGCTCTGACCAACCTCCAAGAGAAAAGACAGGAGAGGAAGAAGTTAAATCTCACTGAGTCAGGACTCAGTAGCAGGTGGACCCAACAAAACCTCAAAGAGGCTCATAGAGACTGCCTTCTGTTTTGACTTTATTTTTTGCATTTTAGACATGGTAGATTCTCTATGTAGCCTTTTCTGTCCTGGAATTCACTTTGTAGACCAAGCTGGCTTTGAACTCACAGAGATCCTCTTGCCTCTACCTCCTAAGTGCTAAAATTAAAGGTATATCACCTGCCCTCCTTTTCTGGCTCTTATTTTTTAATTAACTTTAAATTTTTTATTTATTTTAGGTGTATGGGTGTTTTGACTGCATCCGTGTCTGTACTCCACACGTGTGCAGTGCCTAAGGAGGCCAGAAGAGGGTGACAGATTCCTAGGATTGGAGTTACAGATAGTTGTCAGCCACCATGTGGGTGCTGGGAGTCAAACCTGGGTCCTCTGAAGAGCAGCCAGTGCTCTTAAATGCTGAGACATCTCTCCAGCCGCCATACTGTTTATTGAGGCAGAGTCTCTCTCTCTGGACTTGGAACTTAGCAATTGATCTATGATGGCTGGCCAGTGTGCTTTGCCTCTCCCATGCTTCAGTGCTAGGATTATAGATAGGTGCTATCACACCTGGCTTTAGGGACTTAATTCATTTTATTGAGGCCAGCTAGGAAACATGGGACTCTCTCTCAAGAAAAAGAAAGGAAGGAAATAATAAAGAAAGAAAGATAAAACTTGTAAAAACAGATTCTCAGGACACCTGTGTGGGGCTTGGAGGTGAAGCCACTGCTTGCTATGTGAACACGAGGACCTGTTAGGATCCTCAGCATTCCTGTAAAAGCTAGGTGCAGCAGGCCAGGTGTGGTGGACCACACCTCTAATCCTAGCACTTGGGAAGCAGAGGTAGGCAGATCTCTGAATTTGAGGCCAGTCTGGCCTATAGAACCAGTTCCAGGACAGCCAGGGTTGCACAGAGAAACCCTGTCTGGAAAAACAAAACAAAACATCAGGCAGCACTGGGTGTCTCTAACCCCCTCACTGGGTAAGGATTTCTGGAGCTTGATGGCCATCCAGTCTAGCCAGTTGATGAGCTGCAGGATCAGAGAGAGACACTGTCTCAAAGCATAAGGTAGGGAGAGACTCGAAAGACACCCAGCATTGACCTCTAGCCTGGCACGGGCACATGTGACTACATGCATACACACACAGACCCACATCGACAGGTACAGAGCATATACACATATAACCCTACACCCCCAAAAGGACATATGTACCAAAGTCAAGTCCATTAAATATATGCACACATATCACAAACATGTTCTTTGGTATATGAAGGTAAGTTTTGCTGTAATTTACAGAGGACTTCTAAAATCAATAAAAATAAGCAAGCAGCCCAATGATTAAGAGTGGGCAAACATTTATTAGACAAGTCACAGAACTACTACTTTTACTTTTATTTTCATTTTATTTGCTATTTGTGTGTGTGTGTGTGTGTGTGTGTGTGTGTGTGTGTGTGTGTTTGCATATGTGTGAGTATGTGTGTAGATCACAGGACAACTTGCAGGAATTGGTTTACTTCTACCATGTGGGTTCTGTGGGATTAAATTTAGATTGTGAGGCTTGGCTGCAAGCACCTTTACCCACTGAACCATCTTGCCAGCCACACAGAATTCTTAGTGGCAGTGAACATATCAAAAAGTCTCAAATACTTTGGGAAACATCGGTGTAAGCTGAAATAGCTTTCGCTTCTTGGACTAGGTAAAAATAAAGTGCTGGGGAATATGAAATGTGTATTAAGTGGGTAATGTAACAACTAGACAAAAGATTAAGGCTTTCAAAGAGAAGTGAGACCTGAGATATACCCATCTACCATCCTTCCACTTACCCATCTATATGCCACCCATTCAACTGCCATCCACACATCTTTTCTCTATCCATTCATCCATTCACTCACCCATTTCCCCATCCATCCGTCCACCCAAATGCATGTTCATCCACCCACTTGTCTTCCCATCTATCCATCCACCATCCCTCTCCATACATGCGCAATTCACCCTCATATACATCCCTCCATCTATTCATCCATCTATTCTCATATCCATTTATCCACCCATCTATTTCCCCATCCATCTGTCCACCCAAATACACATTCATCTACCCACCCACCCCCCAGTCAGTCATCCCTCTGCCTTCTTATCTATCCATCCATCTACATCCCCATGCAGCCACCCACCCACATATCCACCCATGCATCCATCCATCCACCCACACATACATCTGTCTATAAAAAAACATCCATTTATCAATTTATGCACCATCAATTACCTACCCATCCATCCACCTATGCATCTACACATCCTCTTACTACACACCCACCCATCCTCCATCCATCCACACATGTCCACGGGTCGTGGCTCATTTTAATGAGTGAGCGTGGAGTTCATCCCAGCCAGCCCTCTTCCCACCTACAGTCACAATCCCCCATGATGCAGAGGAGGACAGTCGTCTACAGATGAACAAGATCCGGGCACAGCTTATTGGGGCTTTCAAGGAGCAGATGGAGATGCGGCGCAGCCTTGTGGAGCTGGAGAATGCCAACATTGAGCTGCACATAGACATGTCTCGCCACCTACTGACCATTGCAGAGTGAGTGCTCTGTTGCTAGGCACAGCACATCCCCTAAGGGAAGGGAAGCCAGGGAACAGAGGGGGCTGCTGGTTGCTACCATCTGCAGGTCCTGTTATGTGACCCTATAGGTAAGCTGGGCCAAGCAGGAGATACTTCTAGATCCCTTGGACCTCTTATCACTGGGGTTTAGAGCCAGCCCAGGGGGTCAGTAAATGTTAACACAATCTCTCTCCCACGGTTCACTTACCCATATGCATCTGTGATCTGGAGGTAGCGTGACCCTGTGCAGAGAATAGCAGGGATGCCTACCATCCACACCAGGCATCCGAAGGTGAACGGGGTTCTAGTGATCACTACCCTGGGACAGTGGGTGCCCCGCCAGCTGCCCTGCAGAAACCTGGACACATGGCCGCCCACTTAGGGTGACTTCAAACAGCATTGTCACACTCAAACCCGTTGCTTCTTTTCACTCTCTATTCTTGCTTCTCCCTGTAATTCCCTTCCTCTTCTCTTCCCCCTCCCTCCCTCTCTTCTCAGCCCCCTCCCCTCCTCTCCCTTTCTTCTTCCTTTCACCCCCTTTGTTTGGAACAAGGTCTTGCTATGTAACTCAGGCTGGTCTGGAACTTGTGATCTTCCTGCTTCTGCCTCCTGATTGCTGGAACGACAACTGTACATCACTGTTTATCATGGTCATTGTCATCATTGTACTTACCTTCCTCCTCTCTCTTCAATTACATGAGCAGCACAGTGCCTACACTGCAGTCATTCTAAACTTTAACAAGGCAATCACAGCCATGCTGTGGCGCACGCCTTTAATTCTAGCACTTTGGAGGCAGAGGCAGGTAGATAGATCGCTGGGTTCAAGGCCAGCCTGGTCTACATAGGGATGGATACATATGTGGAGAAGATATGAGGAGACATGATTCCTCTCCATCATTTTCCCATGCCATGAGCAGGCCTGGAGGGCTCTGGGTGTGAGATGTAGAACTCTCCGATCAGGCTTGATGGACCCCTGATACCTGTGTCCTGGCTGCAGCTGGGAGCGGGAGAAGACCCACCATCATGCAAACATGGAAAACAGTGAGAAGGATGAGGAGCCAGGGGATGCTGATGGAGAGGAGGTGGAGGCTTCAGAGCCCCCGGAGGTGGCTCTGGCTAGAGAGGAGGTGAACCTGCTCCTGGCTGAACAGCGGAAAACGGCAGCCCTCAAGGTGAGGAAGAGGGATACACAGCCATAGCAATAGCGCTTATTGTCTGAGCTGGGCAACACTTTGAGATTCCAGGTCATCCCATGAAACACAGCTAGCTATGTGGTCACAGCCACCTGAGTCTCAGACTCAGAGATGTAGCTCAGTTGGTAGAGATTTGCTTAGCAAGCACAAGGCCCAGGGTTCTATCTTCAGAAACAGGTGTGGTACTAGACACCTGTAATCACAGCACTCAGGAAGTAGAGGCAGGAGAATCAGAAGTTTACAATCATCCTTGGTCAGACTGGATGCAGAAGACGTTGTCTTCGAAGGAAAAAAAGATAGGTGGTGGTGGTGCACACTTTTAATCCCAGTACTTGAGAGGCAGAAGCAGGAAGATCTCTGTGAGTTTGAGGCCAGCCTGGTCTACAGAGCGAGTACCAGAACAGTCAGGGCCACACAGAGGAACCCTGTCTAAAAAAAATACCAAAAAACAAAAAATATAAACCTTTTTTTTTTTTAAAGAGCTGTTTATGTAATAGCTGGCTAGCCAGTAAATGTGATTTAGGAAGAGTATAAAACTCTTGCTTGAGGAAGCTTTGGGGAAGGCCAGTGATGCCAGGAACTGGGCGGCTCATTAGCTAAATGCTGGCAGGTGTGTCCTTAGAGAGTAGGGAAAGTGTCCGGTGATGTCAGATTGTTAAAAGTAGGCATCGTTTAATTCTCTTTAAAGCTATGTAACCAAACAAGAGGCCCTTCATGTTGCTACACCTGCCCACTGCAGTCTAGGTTCCTGCCATCTCACTTCAAATTAACGATTAGACTCTCTATGGCTTTTAAAAATAAGAAAGATAGATGCCTCTTGTCTAAGCCAGTGATGTCCATCAGCTAGATGGCATGAACCCCAAGGGCAAATTCAGGTATCAACAAGTGATGGAACCTGAAGAGGCTAGCTTGTCAGTCAGGAGTGGTGAGCCTTTCAGTCAGGAGCTTCAGTGGCTAGCCTGTCAGTCAGGAGCTACAGTGGCTAGCCTGTCGATCAGGAGTGGTGAGCCTGTCAGTCAGGATCCTGTAGAGGTGAGCCTTTCAGTCAGAAGCTACAGTGGTGAGCCTGTCAGTCAGGAGCCTGCAGTGGCTAGCCTGTCAGTCTGTGGCAACAGTGGCTAGCCTGTCAGTCAGGAGCCTGCAGGGGTGAGCCTGTCAGTCAAAAAATGAACAATTAAGCAAAATTCAAGGTTTTAAATGTCTAGCTGGAGGCCAGGCCCTGGAGCTTTAATTAAAACTAGCCATGTGCCCTGAGCTCAGAACTGAGAGGAAGATACACAGGTGTGACTTGTCGAAGCAACTACAGTCATTGCAACAGGTGCAAGTGGGCAGAGGAGGGGCTGCTTTTCAGCAATGGAGTTAGGAACTCAGGAGGCTGTATGAAAGGGAATGGAAGAGGGCTTTAGAGGAGTCTGGATGGAGTTGGGGAGGACTCTGAGGGGAGGCTGCTTAGGGAGGAGTTTGGAGGAAAGGGTGAAATCAATCCCTGATCAGAAGGAAGGTGGCATAATACATCTCCTGCAGCTGTTATCTGCCCATCCATTGGGGACCGAGACTCTGGGAGCACAAGGCAGCCTGAGCCCCATGTGACTCTCTGGGGGCCATGTGGAGTTAGCTGAGTCACCTGAGCAGACTCCAGTATGCAGGGATACAGATTGCTGGGAGGGTGTTTTATAGGAGCCATTAGCATCTCCATCAAGTGCACACACACACACCCTTGTGACGAGCATACAGAACATACACACACATATAGAAGCAAGCATATACCCATAGCTATGTGCAGAGAGCTGGGGCCTTGCCTGGTGGGTATGCAGAACTGGGCTACAGGCTATATGTGGGTCTCAAGGGCTCCCAGATCATTTTACACAGGGTGAGCAGTTCAGGAGGCCAAAGTAGACAAGCTGGGACTGAGCGCTCCCTGTGTCCCCTCACGTGCTGATTGAGAGAATCAGGACCTGGAGTGTGGCCCACCGCTTTGTGCTATGGGACACCCTGGAGGCATGTCACAGTGTGAGGTAGGTGGGTCTGTTTCCTGGCATTGGAAAGGTGGTTTGCCACTTGTAGTTCCCAGTAGGAGGACCTGCCACTCCACAGCACACATGGCCCCATACAGAAGTGCTAGGGTGGTTGAGGAGATAAGAGAAGTGAGTAGAAAAGGTGGTCAAGAGTCCCCACTGTGGTTTCTGCAGGGAAGAGCAGATGGGGTGGGTAGATAAGCTTGCATTTCTGAGAGATATGAAGTTACCGTTAACAGTTACCCCCAAACTGGAGCAGCACTAACAGCCCATGACTCATTCAGGGGCTGGGAATGTGGATCATCTGGCAGTGCTCCTGTCCAGTCTGCATAGAGTCCCAGGTTCATCACAAGCACTGCATAAACTGGACTCTTGGTGGTGCACACCTGCAATCCTAGCACTCTGGATACAGGAGAACCAGGAGTTCAAGGTCATCCTCAGCTACATAGTGAGTTTGAGGCTAGCCTGGGCTATGTGACTCTGGCCAAAAAAAGAAGGCAGGGGTAGGGGAGAGGAGAAGGAAGAGGAGGAAGACTCATCCAAGTTCTGCTTGAGAAATGAAATGAGTTTATTAGGGGTTTCTCAGGGTGGTATGCTTCTAGAGCGGATGGCTGCATTTTCTGCAAAGTTCCCAACACCCTGCCTATAAAGCTCCCATATTTTCCTTGGAAAATATTTTTATTTATGTATCTATATGTGTGTGAATGTATATGCATGTGAGGGCAGATGACTGAGACCCGAAGAGGGCATCAGATCCCCTAGAGCTAGAGTTACAGGTAGCTGTAAGTCACCGGCTATGGGTAATGGAGACATAACTTATATCCTCTATAAGAGCAGTATGTGCTCTTAACTGCTAAGCCATCTCACCAGCCCCGAATCTCCTGTATTGTATGGCTCTGAGACTACAGAATTCCTGTACAATTGGGGAAGAAAAAGTTTATTTTAGGTCCTAGTTCAAGCACAGTCTATCATGGTGGAAAGGCATGGTTGCAGGGCTGCTCACATTGTGTCCACAGTCAGGAAGCGGAGAGAGAGAGATGCTGGTGCTCAGTTTGCTTTCTCCTTATTCAGTCCAGGACTCCAGCTTAGGGAATAGTGTGTCCTATGTTTAAGGTGGGTTTCCTAATCAACATAATCCCTCATTGGCATGGCCATATGCTACCTAATTCACATTATTGTTCACAGGTGTCTTCTAGGAGGTTGTAGGCGTGTCAAATGGACCTCACCAGTATTAGCCCTCCTAGGAGTTCATCATTAGGACTGGTTGCCGCATGTCTCATGAGGTTGACTAACTGGTGTCAGTGCTTGCCCTGAGCTGTCCTTGTCTTCCCACAGGCTGGTCTAGAGCAGCGCCTGGCCCATGCCAAGCAGAAGGCCTCACAGATGGAGAAGCTGCTGCCCAGGCAGGTGACCAGTGAGGACCAGCGGGAGGTGCTGCAGCTGCTGTGCAGGGCCCACCAGTTGGAGGTGGAGAACACAGAGCTGCAGGCTGACAACTTGTGCCGCAAGAACCTGCTCTGCCAGAAGGACTTCGTGATCCAGCGCTATCACCAGCACCGGATGCTGTGTGAGCAGGTTATCCAGGGGCAGCGGCAGCTGATGCAGGGTAAGGCCAGCTTGGTGTGTGGGATCAACTAATGATACTGCATTCTAAAAAGAGAAACCACAGGACAAGGGCTAGGGAGATGGCTCAGTCAGTTAAGTGTTTACAAGTGTGGGGACTTGAGCCCCAGAAGCCATTAAAAAGCTGAGTGTGGTCAGGTGGTAGTGGCACACACCTTTAATCCCAGCACTCTGGAGGCAGAGGCAGGTGGATCTCTGAGTTCAAGGCCAGCCTGGTCAACACAGTGAGTTCTAGGACAGGCTCCAAAGCTGCACAGAGAAACCCTGTCTCAAGAAACAAAGAAAACAAAACAAAGCAAAACAAAAAAAAGCCGAGTGTCCCATTGATAGCCAGATGGGAAGTGTAGACAGGTGAATCCCTGGAGCTGGCTGGCTAGCTTAACCTATTTGGCAAAGTTCCAGGCTAATGGGAGACCATGTCCTAAATACACATGCTCTCTCTCTCTCTCTCTCTCTCTCACACACACACACACACACACACACACACAAGATGGAAGATCTGGGGACATAGCTCATTGGTAGAGTACTTACCTAGCTAGCCTAAAGCCCTGAGTTCGATTCCCAGCACCATAGATAAGCAAAAACACTCTTTGTCTGAACACATAGGACAGTCCCCAAGAGTATAGCACAGACACTATCCTGCCACCATCCTGCTTCTTGTGGCTGGCTCCCTGTACCCAGTCCATCCCTCCCACCTTCCCTACTACCCTCCTTTTCCCTTCTTTCCCTCCCTTTCCTTTCCCCCTCCATCTTCTTTCTTCTTCCTTTTCTTCCCAGGGTTACATTGCTTAACTCGGGCTGTCTTCAAACTCATAACTGTCCTACTTCAGCTACCCTAGTGACCAGCTCCAGCTTTTTTGCTGTTTATTTTGAGATAGAGTCTCACCATGTAGCCCTGGCTGGCCTGGAACTTGCTATGTAGACCAGATTGGCTTTAAAGTCACAGAGAACTGACTGCCTCTTTCTCCTGAGTGCTGGGATTAAAGGTGTGCACCATCACGCCCAGCCTTGTCTTCACTTTTTAAAAATATTTGATTTATTTTGCATTATATGTGTGTGTTTGTATATGTTCACATGTACCTATGGGTGCACGTGTGGAGAACAGAGGCCAACATCCAAGTATCTTCTTGTATAACAGACCACCTTGGATTTTGAGACAGGGTCTCATAATGAACCTGAAGCTCACTGAGTAGGTCAGCTTAGCTGGCCAGCAAGCCCCAGGAGTCTTCCTGTCTCTGTCTGCCCATTGCTGGAGTTAAAGTCACATACCACCATTCCCACTCTTTTATGTGGGTACTAGGGACCCAACTGATGTCTTCAAATCTGAGCAGCAAGTACTTGCCCCACATAACTATCTTTCCAGCCCTTTCTTTCTCTCCAAGACTGGATCTCATTGTGTAACTCAGGCTGTCCATTAACATACCATCCTCCTGCCTCAGGTCTCCCTTAAGAGCAGGGACCCCAATCATTTCCCTAGCTCTGTGGTTTTACCTGTTTGGGATATTTCCTGTGAATTCAATCGTGGTCTTTGGTGTCTGATTTCTTTCACTTAGTACATAACATTTCTTAGACTCATTCATGTTGTAGCAGACACCATACTGTCATTCGTTTTCATAGCTGAGTCATATTCCAACACATGGACAGCCCGTGTGTAAAAGCTCATCTGTTAGTGTTGTCCTCATCTATGGCTATTATGAACAACGCTTCAGAAAATATTCGTGTACAGTTTTCTTTTCTTTCTTTTTTTATTTAATTTATAGAAAGAGGGTTTCTTTGTGTAGCCTTGGCTGCCTTGGAACTTGCTCTAGACCAGGCTGGCCTTGAGCTTAGGAATCCACCTGCCTCTGCCTCACAGGCACTGGGATTAAAGACATGTACCACCACTGCCTAGCCAGAAAAAGAATTTTAAACTTCAGCTGAGGTGTAGCTCAATGGTAGAGTATTTGCTTAGCATGTTTGACACACAGGATTTGCCAAGTGTAATGGTGTGTGCTTTTAATCTGAGCACTCAGGAGGAAGAGGTCTATAGATCTCTGTGAGTTCAAGATCACCCTGGTCTACATGGTGAGTTCTCAGCCAGCCATGTCTGCACAGTGAGACCCAGGCCACACCCTGCCCCTAAAAGACCCTGAACTCATCTTCATTATCACACACACATACACACACACACACACACACACACACACACACAAAATCATCATAAAAAATGAAATAGACTGGGGATGCCACCTAGTTGGTGGAGTGCTTTGCCTAGCATTCATGAGGCTCTGGGTTCCATTCCCAGCACTGTAGAAACCAAGTATGGTGGCACACACCTGTAATCCCAACACTTAAAGGTTCAAGGTTATCTGGAGCTACACAGTGAGTTCAAGGCCAGTCTGGGCAACATGAGACCCTGTCTCAAAAAAAAAAAAAAGTTAAATTGGAATGGAATATAAAAGACAGTATACTGGAGAAGAAAAACTTCCTTCAAGCATTCCAGGAAGGGTGTTGCCCTTTGTGGCACCTGGCTTGAGGTGGTGTGTTGTACTACATTCTGATGGCTGCTCTCTTTGCTTCTTCAGACAGTGGCATTTCAGCCTCAGAACTCCTGGAGCAGCAGTACCGACTGTACCTCCGGGAACTGGGTGAAGGCACTTTGGACCGCCTGCTGCTGCAGCTCTCGGTGATGTCCAGCTCGATCCGAGTGAGTCTCACTTCCTCCACCTCTGGTTAGGGCTATTATCAACAAAATCCCATGATTCTTTGCCCTAGGCCAACCAGTGCTGGCCATGCTGGGCACCAAGGAAATGGGGAAGGTAACTAAAGAGACACCCATGTACCAGGTACCCAGAGTCAATTCCAGGTGGAGCACATGCTGAGCCACAGGCTGCACAGTCAGCCAGGGACCAGGACCAGAGGATGAGCAAGGGAGATGGCTTAGTCAGTGATGTGCTTACTGTGTGAGCATAGGGACCCAAGGCCCTGGACACACCGTCCTATGCTGGAGAGACAAAAATAGGTGGATCCCTATTGGTCAGTGAGCAGCCATTCTTGCTGAATTGATGAGCTGTTATGATAAATCTTTCTGCCAAAAGCCACCTGAGCCCTATCGCCACGTGGGCACTTTCCACTAGCTGCCCGAGTTCTGCCACCAAGTTAGGGCCCCAAATAATATACAGAGACTTATGTTAGGTACAAATACTGCTTGGCCAATGACTAGGGTTCTCTTATGTTAGCTCAGTCTTAATTATCATGAATTTATATATTTTATAAGATTTATCTTATCGGATGCCTTCCATGGCATCCTCATCCCAGGATCACATGGTGACTCTGGAGGAAGAGAGAAGGGGCCCACTTCCTTCTTGCCCTTGTTTATATATGAGTCTCCCTGCCATGTCATTTCCTGCAGATCATCACTTCTTTACTACATTTCCCAGAATCCTCCTTGACTCCTAGTCCACCTAACTTGCTGCCTCATTGGCCAAACAGTACTTTATTTATCATCTAATAAGATGATAAACACATACACAGAAGCACTTCCCCCATCAATGAGCCCCAGGTTCAGTGACAGACCCTGTCTCAAAAAAAAAAAAAGAAAGAAAGAAAGAAAGAAAGAAAGAAAGAAAGAAAAGAAAAGAAAAGAAAAAGGAGGATAGTTGAGTAAAACAACTAAAGTCTACCTCTGCCCTCTGCATGATGCTCTGTTCTCCCACATGTGCATATGAACATGTGTATACACATACAGATTCATAGTGCACACACGGGTATTGCGAACCAGAGCCTCCTGAGCACTGTGGCATCCTGTTCACCTGACTTTTGTGTAGGTCCTCAGGTCCTCATGCTTGCACAGCAAAAGCTTTATCTACTGATCCATCCCCGCCCCATGCTCTTTGCCTAGCATTTACTTTTTACATGGGTTCTAGAGTTCGCTGGGGTCCTTGTGCTTTCAAGGCAAGCACTTTAGTGACTCAGCTACATCCCAGCCCCCCTTTTCCTTCTTTTTTCTTTCCTCCTTCCTCCCTCCCCCTCTCCCCTCTCCTCCTGCATATGTTCTGGCTTCATCTCTGTTGCTGTGATAAAATGCTCGCATATAAGCACCTGTAAGGGAGGAAGGGTTTATTGGGCCTATTCCAGTTCTGGTCTATCACCGTCAAGGCAGAAACTTGAACTAGTCACATCTACAATCAAGAGCAGACAAAACGAACACATGCTTGTGCTGTTCCTTTTTCACAGTCCAGGACTCAGGGAATGATGCTGCCCACTTTGAGGCTAGGTCTTCCCACATCAATTAATGTAATCAAGACAATTCCCACAGACATGCCCACAGGCCCCCTGGTCTAGACAGGCTCTCATGGATACTCTTTCCATAGGATTCTAAATTGTTTCCAGTTGACAATTCAAAGCATCCATTACAATATCTTTCTCTCTTCTCTCCCATCCTTTCTCCTTCTTTTTTGGCACGGGAAGCTATGCATAAAATGTATCATTGTTTTTGGGGAGAGGGCTGTACTGGGTGGTTTTGTGTGTCAACTTGACATAAGCTAGAGTCATCAGAGGAAGGAGCCTCAGCTGAGAAAATGCCTCCATGAGATCCAGCTGGAAGGCATTTTCTCATTCAGTGATCAATGGAGGAGGGCCCAGTCCATGGTGGGTGGTACCATCCCTGGGCTGCTAGTCCTGGGTTCTATAAAAAGGCGGGCTGAGCAGGCCATGAGGAGAAAGCCAGTAAGCAGCTTCACTCCATGGCCTCTGCATCAGCTCCTGCCTCCAGGACCCTGCCCCATTTTGAGTCCCTGTCCTGACTTCCTTCAGTAATGAACAGCAATGCTGAAGTGTAAGCCAGATAAACCCTTTCTTTCCCAACTTGCTTTTTGGTTATGGTGTTTCATTGAAGCAATAGAAACCATAACAAAGACAGGGGAAGTACTGAGGGGTTAACTCAGGACCTTACATATTCTAGGCAAGTGTTCTACCACCATTCTAGCTATTTGTATTTTGTTTATTTTTGTCTGTTTGAGACAAGGTATCACTATGTACCCTGGCTTGCCTGGAACTCACTATGGACCAGACTTGCCTTGAATTCACAGAGATCCCCCTGGCTCTGCCTTCTGAGTGCTGGGATTAAAGATGTATGCCACCACAACTTCCATAGCACTAAACAAATCCACTCCACTGTGAAGCCATTTTCATCTTCTAGAACTTTCTCTTCTTCCCAAACCAAAATTCTCCATGAAGGGACCAGCTCCCCATTTCAGTAGCCATAATAGCTTGTCTGACCTTGTCCTAGTCACTAGAAAGTCAGATCCCTGCCTTGTAGCAAGGAACCAAATCAGAAGTTAGCTGGTGGCTCTATGCTTTATGGCTCTGGGGGTGCTTTACCGACAAGCGCACAGCAATGACGCACAGAGCATAGCAACCACCCTGGGATGGCCTATGGGCCATAACAACCAATTGACCAATCAACACAGGGCAAGCCCTCCAAGCCTGGAGGCACACCAATCCTGAGCCTGTGCGTACCCCTAGTCACTCCCCTTACGCTGCCCTACAAGATCTCTTGGCAGCAGGTTTGAGCCATCTTTGCTAGCCTTCCGCCATGGCAGGTGGGTGAAAGACCCGAGCTAACATGGGGTTAGCTCGTTAAGCAACAATAAAGCCTCATGCAGTTTGCAGCAAGTTTTCGAATCTGCCTGATGATTGGGGTGACCGAAGTCCTGGTCTGGGACCCTGGAGGCCTGAGTTTTCCTGGAGTCTAACATCCATTTATTAAATACTAGTTCCTCTCCCCTCCCTAGTCCCTGGGACACTGTCATACTGTGGGCTGGAGAGTGACTGTCCTGGAAACCTCCTGTAAATGAAGATGGAGCTTCTCCTGTTCCCATGATGTATACAGGTTAAGGAGCCCTGGCTGGTGTCCCCTGGCTCATGGCTTCCTTTGAAGCCTGGTGGAGGGAGTACGCCAGCTTTCCCATGGCCCATTAGAGACCTTCAGCGTGGTGACACAGTCTCCTGTGCCCTCAGTGTCCTGACTCTTCTCCTCTGCTTCCAGGATGGCCCCATTATGAACATATCACCCCCACCACCTGAGGACACCAGTGGAGAGCCTCCAGGTGAAAGGCGGGACCTCCCATGGGGTGCCACGTTTGAGCTGCCTCAGATGCTCCTAGAGAGAGACAGGTGGGCACAGAGCCTGGGCAAGAGTGAAGATATCAGGTCCTGGGTGGAGTTGAGGCTGTAGTTCTCAGAAGCTCCACTGACACACAGCCAGGGGCTCACCTCTGAGTCCATGTCCCCTCCTCTGGAGACCTGTCTCATGTCCTCCTTCTGAGCCTGTCTTAAATAAACAAGGTGCTGAGGCGAGAGCTCTATGGGGGAAAGGGCTTACTTTGCAAGCACAGTGAGCAGAATTCAATCCCAGAATCTACATAAAATAACTGGGCAGGATAGGACGTGTACGTTACCCTCCCTACATTGAGGAGGTGGAGACAGGCAGCCATCTTGGAGTTCACAGACTTGGTGAGTTCCCGGCTCCATTTCACAAAAACAAGATGAATGATGTCTGGAGAATGACAGTTGATATTGTCCTCTGTCCTTCATGTGCTGGAGAACACACATGCATATCTCCATGTACCCCTGCATAGACATATGTACCCATACATGCATATATATACACATTTACAGAATAGTAAACTCATCACAGGAGGTACTGGCTGCATGGAACAGTGGTGAGCTGAGGCATTTGATGAGTTTGAGGCTGGAAGTGACCTTATCGATTCCTTGGTGTTTGTCCTGAGTGTGTTCAGTGCCATTAGCCTTGCCCCTGAAGCCTTCCTCCCCTTCCTCCTCTGTTCTCTTTTCCTGTGGCACTCTCCAAGACGAAAACTCACCCAAGTGAAACGCCCACAGGTTCTTTTTGTAAATTTAAGAGTTCACATCTGCTGGACCGTGGTGGTGCACGCCTTTAGTCCCAGCACTTGGGAGGCAGAGGCAGGTGGATCTCTGTGAGTTCGAGACCAGCCTGGTCTACAAGAGCTAGTTCCAAGACAGCCTCCAAAGCCACAGAGAAACCCTGTCTTGAAAAAAAAAAAAAGAGTTCACATCTGACCAATTTGTGTGACCTTCTTGTCACCCCAGTTGCCTTAACAAAACGCCATATTCTGGGCAGTTTAAGCAACATGAATTGTCTCACAGGTATGGAAGCTGGAGGTCCAAGCTCAGCCTGCCAGAGGTGTGAGGGAGCCTGGTGAGGGTCTCTTCCTGGATGGAAGATGGCTGCCTTCTTGCTGTGTCCTTCCATGCTGAGCCAGGAAAGAGAGGGAGGGGGACAGCACAAAGGTGACTTCAATATCTTCTTTTAAATTTTGTTTTTGTTTATTGATTGTTTTTTTTTTTCCAAGACAGGCTCTCGTGTTAGCCTAGGCTGGCCTTAAGTTCACCAGTGCTAGGATTACAGGCATATCCGATTCACACAGATGGAGCCCAGGGCTTTGTGCTTGTGAGGCAAGCACTGTACTAGGAGAGTGACAGGCCCATCCTTTCCCCCTTGCAGTAACTAGGGACTGAATCTAGCCAGGTCCTAGGATTTCACTGGAGGACTCTAGACAAGTGCTCTACCACTGATCCATGATCCTAGTCCCTTATGGGGGATTCTAGACGGGTGCTCTTGCCGAGCCACAGTTTAAGGGTACAATCCATTATGGTGGAGAAGGCATGACATCCACAGTTAAAAAGCAGGGGGACAGATGCTGATGCTCAGCTCATTTTTTTATCTAGACCAGGACACCCCAACCCATGGGGTGGTACCACTCAGATTTAGAGTGGGTCTTCCCACCTCAATAAACCCCATCTAGATAACCCTTCGTAGACACACCCAAGAGTCATTTAAGTGGTGAGTCTATATCAGATTAATTTGACAAACCCAGACTGAACATCATGGCTGTCTTTCTCCACCTCGTATAGAGGGCAGTGCTCACTGTCCCCTGGATACCCATAGTAGGTGACCAGCGTGGATGAGCCAGCATGGTCCCAGCCACAGCAACATAGCTGAGGCCAGCATCTTGCCCAGTGCATGGACCATAGTGCTCTGGACTGGAACAGCAGCTGAGACTGGATCCTAGGTACCCAGGCTGTGACTTACCCAGGGGTTCCAGAGTGTCTCCTGTTTCATCCACAGTGATGGGAACAAGTCCTCAAAGAGCACTCCATTGTGGAGACTTGGGAAGCAAGACTCACTTCTCCCTCCACCAGCCCTCCGCATCCTGCTGACACCACCCATGCTTGAGGTTGGTATGCAGGGTGCTAGCTAGAGGGAGGCCCCTAGAATGCATGGGGAAGGACCGCTTCTGGAATCCCATGCTGTGGCTATAGTGGCTGCGGGTGGCCTGTGCTTTTCTTTCACAGAAGTCAAATGCTCTAGGAGCAAAGAACCTGGTCTCCAGATTGCAGCCCACGGCTGGTTTGGAGCTGAGAACCCCACAGCCGGCAGGAGAGATGAGCAGCCCCCCTATGAGTGTCCAGGCCCTCAAGGAGATGGCCCTGGGCACCAAGAGTATTGCCCTCATAGCAGCCAGCCGTCGCTGCAGAGTGTATGACAAAGAGGGCAGCTGCCTGGACTCCAGGGACCCTAGCCCTGCAGACTGGAGGTGGCCCCATGCCAGCCCCAGCAGAGACCGCTCTTTGGAGAGGAAGGCAGGGAGGAAGCGGTCACCCTCGTTCACCTGGAGCCTGCAACAAGTATGGAGATATCTGTTTGGTTGCTAGGGTATAGCTTGGGAGAAGAAGAGGGCAGCGAGGGCAGATGGGCACTCTGCCTGAGCCCACTGCCTGACCCAAAATCACAGGGTCCACTAATGTTTTGTGCAGTTATAACTCTAGAAATGCTGCTCTGTGACCTGAGAACTTCCACGTATCAATTCAGTATTAAATTTCTTTCTCCTTCCTTCCTTCCTTCCTTCCTTCCTTCCTTCCTTCCTTCCTTCCTTCCTCCCTCCCTCCCTCCCTCCCTCCCTCCTTCCTTCCTTCCTTCCTTCCTTCCTTCCTGTCTTCCTTCCTTCTGTGGTACTAAGGATAGAATCTAGGACCTTGCATGCTTTAGGCAAGAACTCTACCACTGAGCCACACCCCCAGCCCCTCACTGGGGGATTCCAGGAATGTGCTCTACCACTGAACTCACCCCAGCCCCTCACTGGGGCATTCTAGGCAGGTGCTCTACCACTGACTTGTGGCCTCAGCCAGTATTGTAATTTAAGGAAAGGGTCTTTTGTTGGGTTTAGGATAAGTTTGCTAAGTGACATGTGAAAGTCAATTCACTGCCCCCCATTTCTGTGCTTTCACATTTGGTATTGGCTAATGACCAAAGGTTTGACCAACATACATCCTGCCTTTGGTGACCAAATCCCTGACCTCTGCTAAACATAGGGTATTTACTGACTTGAGAGTGACATGAAGACTGGGCATTGTGATGCAGGCTTTCAATGCCAGCATTCAGAAACCTGTGGCTAGAGGGTTGTGAGTTCGAGGCCAGCCTGGGCAACATATTGTGACTCTGTGTCCAAAACACTAAAACCAAAAAGATCAAAAAGAATAAAGCAAGCAATCAACTGATTTGTTCAATATAAAAGAAGGGAAGTAGCAGAATTCATAGAGAGAGAGAGAGAGAGAGAGAGAGAGAGAGAGAGAGAGAGAGAGAGAGAGGAGAAAGGTGGGGGGAGCAGAAATGAGCTTCAGTTTTAGTCATGAAGGCAGGAGGAACCTAGTACCCCACGTGAGAGACAGGAGGGTTCTCTTAGTGGGGAGTGACTGCTTTCCTGTTCCACTCAGGCCTTTACCAGATTGGATGGCAGCCACCCAAGCATCACACACCCCCAAAAGCCCTCCCTAAGGGAAAGGGCTCATCCATCCATTTGCTTGTTTACTTGGGGCTGGTTCTGTTACTCTGGCATACCTTTTCTGTGCACCTTTTCCAAACTGCAGATGACGGAGAAACATCAGCCTTCTACGGAACATCCACCCGAGAGCCAACTGTCCCCCGCACACCTCCAGCCACCAAAGCCTTCAGGGAAGAGCTTTTTCCCTGCTGTTCCCATGGCCTCCAAGATGAGACCAGGCCTCAGTTTTCACACAGGTATGGTGTAGTTTTTTGTTTGTTTGTTTGTTTGTTGTTTTCTCTTTGGGGGCCTGCCACCTAGCTCCCAAATAAATACACAGAGACCCTGTCTCAAAAACCAAGTGGAAGACTGTGCTTGGGTAGTGCACACCCTTAATCCCAGGCAAAGGCCAGCAGATCCCTGCGAGTTCAGAGCCCAGCCTTGTCTACATTGTGAGTTTCAGGACAGCCAGGGTTACACAGTGAGGCCCAGTCTCAAAAACATACAACAAAGGGTAAAGAGTGATGGATTTCCCCCCGCCCCCCCCCCCCCCCCCCCCGACACACACATGACAGAACACAACAGCTCCCGGTGGTCCTTCAAGAATTACACTCTAAGCATGTGATCCCAGCACTCAGGAGGCTTACACAGAAGTGTCAGGAAGAGCAGGCCAGCTTGGGCTACATACTGAGACTCTGTCTCCCCAGCAAGCGATTGCTGTTTGGGTGATGAATGCCTGTACTTCCAGTTCTTGAAAGACTGAGGCAGAGGGATTGAAGCCAACCCAGACCACTTAGCAAAATACTTTCCCCAAAACCACCCTTTTTCTTCCTCTTCTTTTCCGTCCTCTTTGCCCTCTTCCTCACTCCCTGTTGCTCTTCCGCCTCCGCCCTGCTCACTGCCCTCACTCATCTTCCATCCTCCCTCAGCCTCCTGTGGAGATGAGGTCCTGAGGAAGCAGGCTCATCTCTTTCCCACTCCTTAGTCTGATCCTGAGGCTTGGTAGGTCATCCCTACAGATAATATTTCCTATTGCTGGTGTCTCCTTCAGACGAAAGCATGCTTCATGTGCCAGAGGTCAGCTTCACCTTCCCCAGTGCCATGTGGCAGAGCAATGCAGCCCCCAGCCGGCCTCCCCTCCTGCCACGTGACATCCGAGGTTAGTGCCTGTACCTCCAAACTTGTGCCCTCTGTCCCTACCCCACTGGCATCTTGGACACTCTGTTCCATCTGTGTGAGACTTGATAGAGAGCCAGCAGCCTCCTATACTATAGCCTTTCACGCTCCAGGCCTCTGATGCCTGTGAACTGTTTGGAGGACAGCAATGCTCTCAGAAGACAGGTCGTTGGGGGTTGATGACCTGGGCAGCAAGTGGACAGCCTGGACTGAAGTTGAGCCCTCTGTCTCCCTTGCCCAGCTTGCTCTGCTGTCTGGGAGGAGACAGTGGGACCAGGTGGCTTTCCAAGCTGACCTTGTCCCAGCAAGTTTCCTGGCATCCCTGATGGAGAACTTTTCTCCACTGTCAAACATTTCCCTTAACTTTCAATGAGATGCCTGGTCCAGAGGGAATAGCTGGAAGCTGAGGGTCAAGGATCAAGGTGGGTGGCAAAGGGCCAGATGCAGACTGGAAGAGGAGGGTTGGTAGGCTTCAATGTTGTCAGGGACAATGTAGCTGGGAACCGGATACTGATAGAGCAGGCACCCTGCTCAGTGGAGTCAATGGGTGGAAATGAGCAGGCTGAGGGTCAGGACGAGGAGAAGGGGGGCTGGTGTCTCAGAGCTCTGTCTTGGTGAGGTGACACCAAGGGACAGGAGCCAGGGATTAGGTGTCTGGTGGGCAGATGGGCGCCCAGATGAGTCCATTCCCTACTCACTGCATATGGATCCTCCATGTTCTTTTAAAAAGCACTCTTGTTGGGGTTGGGTGTATAGTTAACTCTGTGTGTGCTTGCTGTGCAAGTATCAGGACCAGAGAAAAATCACTGAAATCTACACAACAAAAGCCCAATGAGGTGGCCTGTGTTTATAATCCTAGATCTGAGGAGGCAGAGATGGGGAGATCACTAGCCAGCCTAGGACCCAAAGAACAACATCTGGGAGTGTACTCTGGCCTCTACACAGATGTTTACTGTCATGTAGACACATCACATGTACCTGCACACACATCCTGCACACAAGTATTATTTCATTGTATGACTTCAGCCCCAATTTGTGATCTAGAACAGCACCTTCCTCAGCCATGTATATAGTCACAATGTAGGCTGGCCTGGAAGTCACAATCCTCCTCCCTCATTTCCTTAGTGTTAGGATGACAGACCTGCACCACTTAGCCCTCTGCCCACCCTGGCTTATTCCTCCAAAGCCAAGGCTGTTGTGGCTTGCTCAACTGAAGAAGACTCCAGCTAAGGCCCCTCCCAGGACAGGAGAATGGCCAGCCTAGGCATCAGTCCTGAGGGTCACAGCCTCATCCCTCCTCTTCCTCCCCATATGACCTCTTCTAATTTTTTTTAACTTGAACCAAGAATTATTCTAACTCATCCTGTGCATTACTGAATCCCTGCTATGAGGTTGGCCACATTAGTGTCCATATTTATGTTATCACCATCTCAAATGGAGAAGCCACAGCTATCCCGATCCCCTCCTGGGGTGGCAAGCGTCCTCTGGCTTCCTTAGTACCATCTTGTCACCTCATGAACCACCTGACAACCAAGCCATTCGATGAAGTCAAATATCTCTGGGCCGTTGAACTACCAGGATTTTGAGGGGTAGGGGCCAAGTGGGAAGTCCTTCCTGCTGTCTGACCTCATTTCCTGCTACTGCATATTACCCTCCCCCATGCTGCTGTTTGGGAGAGATGGCTTAGCGGTTAAGAGTATTAACCCAGAGGACCTGGGTTCAATTCCCAGCATCCACATGGCAGCTCACAACTGTCTGTAACTCCACTTCCAGGGAATCAGACACCCTTACTCAGACATACGTGCAGGCAAACCCCCAAGATATATAAAATAAGAATAAAAAATAAATTATTTTTTAAAAAGATTAAAGGGAGCCAGGTGGTGGTGACATACGCCTTTAATCCCAGCACTCAGGAGGCAGAGGCAGGTGGATCTCTATGAGTTTGAGGCCAGCCTGGTCTACAGAGAGAGTTCCAGGGTAGGCTCCAAAGCAATACAGAGAAACCCTGTCTCAATAAAATCAAAATAAACAAATAAACAAAAAGATTAAAAGGCTCTGGAGGAAGGGATCTTCTAGGTGCTGACTTGTCAGCCAAGCTGGCTGAATGGCAGTCTATTTAATATTGTATTGAGTGTGAGGGATAGGGAAGGGCCCATATAAGCCCCATCCTTGTTGAATTTGGCCAGAGCTGCTGGGCATCTTATCAAACAGAAGGTCCTAAGTGACCCAGGAGCAGGCCACATCAGCCTGAAGGTTGAGGAGGAAAAGCCTTGGAAGTCACACGATAGCTGGAAGAGGACTCTGGTATTGATAAAGTCAGCTGCCTGTCTCAAATGTGTGTATGTGGAGCGGGAGTCCTCGCCTGTGAGTGTGCTCATGCTGGGGCTAAAGTCTCAATGTCTGGTGAGTGTTGGCTTCTCTCTCATTGGCCTGGCCACAAACTAAAGTCTCTCACCCACCTCCCCAGGGTCTACAGACAGCAGAGGCCGGCGTCACAGTCCATTGCCCCCCAATAACCCCCCCAAGCCGCAGGGTGGCAGTGCAAAGAGGCCAAGGCGTCCTAAGTAGATGGCAGCAAGACACAGCTACCTGGAAGGCCAACTCCAGTGGACCCCAACACTGGACCTGAGATGGAGAGTAATATAGGACACTGGGGTCACCTCCCATGACAGAGGACCTGTCCAAGACTCCATGTTGTCTTTGGGTCTTTCTTGGGTTATTACAGTTGCTGAGGATGTCTCTGGGATCACTCCGTATCCCTGGATGCCAATGACTGACAACCATGGCTCACACTCAGGCTACAGGGGTGCCTGGGGGATGGCTGAACAGCTTCAGATGGGATGGGAGCTCTGAGAAGTCTTGTAGCTGGTTCTGGGGGTGCCAGCACCAGGGAAGACAGGATGGCTTTTTTCCTGCTACCTGATTCTACCTTCAAGCTTTCCACACTCTCAGCCGTGCTCACAAGGGATCTGATGATGGGAGGGAGATGAGAAGGAATGGTCAGGGTTAGTGAGAAATGTATGCTTTGCTTTTACTGGGGACCTGCATGGGGAAGACCTAAGAAGCTTAGGAGTTTGGCTCTATTGATAAATTATTTCTCTATTTGAGATGGGGGTCTCATGTAGCTCAGGCTGGCCTTGAACTTGCAGTGTAGCTGAAGATGACCCTGAACTCTTGGTCCTTCTTCCTTCCTCTCTCAACTTTTGAGATTATAGGCATGGGCCACCACACCTGGTTTATGTGGAGCTGGGGATGGAACCCAGGACCCTGTGTGTGCTAGGTAAGCACTCTGTCAGCTGCCACATTCCTAGTGCTTTCTGTCTAAAAAAAGAACTGGGGAGGAAAAGGGGACACAAAATTGAGTTGCATGTTTGGCAAGACATTGGCATTGCCTTTCCTTGTCTGGTTTTTGTATTTGACTTTTGAGACGTGGGTATGGAGCAGGGTAGAGGGCTAGGGGTGGGATGACCAAGCAAGCTAACAATCAAGGAGAACAAGGCAGTAAGTAGCTTTCTTCTGTGGTTCCTGCCTCTGCCTCTGTTCATGCTTGAGTCCTGCCCTGGCTTTCCTTGATGATGAATGGATAAGCTGAAATAAACCCTTTCCTCCCCAAGCTGCTTTTGTCACGGTGTTTCTCAAAGTAACAGACAGCAGACACTGTCCTTTCTATCTTGTGCTGGGAACTTTCAGGACCAAGACAGAGGGGACAGGGATGGGTGGATTGTGACTTCACCTCCTTAGGGTTGGGAGGTGGAGGAGGTGGGTGGCAGTCCCTTCTCTGACTAGGAAGTAGGTTTTAGCTGTGTGTGTACCTGGCCTAGAAACATGAGGCAGATGCTACAGCTGGGTTGTCTTTCCCTCCCTGCTGTGACACCTGCTGCCAGGGAAGGTGGTTTAGGGCTTCCTTGAAGCCATCGCCCATTTGGACTTCACAAGCTGCTTGCGGGGAGAGAGGTACTATATTTGGGGGCTTTGCTGGGGCTTCTGTGAGCCCTGTTGATGCCAACTCAACTGTGGTGAGGTGGTTGTGGGTGTACCAGCTGGGATCTCAGGCCCTTCAGGCTCAGGTCCAGTGGGCCCCAAGCCCCACACTAAGAACCTTTTGATGTGGTGTAAGGTGAACTTTAAGACTTTATAGTCATAGGCAAGTTTTTTTTTCCAAGACAGTGTTTCCTGTGTATACCTGGCTGTCCTGGAACTCACTCTGTAGGCCAGGTTGACCTCAAACTCAGAGATCTGTCTGTACAGGCAAACTTTTTGATTGTGGAGATTTTCCATGTTTATTAGGAAATATGTCACTAGCTCACTGCAGGCTTGAACTCATCAATCATGGCTGAACTCAACAAGAAAGTTGGGTGGAGCTGGGTGGTGGTGGCACACACATTTAATCCCAGCACTTGGGAGGCAGAGGCAGGTGGATCTCTGTGAGTTCGAGGCCAACCTGATCTACAGAGTGAGTGCCAGGACAGTCATGATTGTTTCACAGAAAATCCCTGTCTCAGGAAAAGAGAGAGAGAGAGAAAGAGAGAGAGAAGAGAGAGAGAGAGAGAGAGAGAGAGAGAGAGAGAGAGAGAGTTAAGTAGAAAGATGGCTCAGTGGATAAAGTGCTTGCTGAGCAATTGTGAGGACCTGAGTTCGGATCTTCAGAGCAGGTGTAAACTCTGGTAACATGATATAATGTGTGTCTGTGATCTCAGTGCTCCAATTGGTGGGGGGGGTAGCAGGGGGTGGAGACAGAATTTCTGGAAATTTGTAGTCCAGTTGGCTGGCATACAGAGAAGCGAATGGGAAATCCCTGGCTCAACCAAATTGAAAGGCGAGGACTGACACGGGAAGTTGTCCTCTGACCGCCACACATGCCGTGGCACATGTGTATCTACACTATACACACATGAACTTAAAAAAATAAAAGAAGCTGGGCAGTGGTGGGCCACGCCTTTAGTCCCAGCACTCGGGAGGCAGAGGCAGATGGAGTTCTGTGATTTTTTTTTGGAGGGGGGGCAGGGTTTCTCTGTGTAGCTTTGGAGCCTCTCCTGGCACTCCCTCTGCAGACTAGACTGGCCTCGAACTCACAGAGATCCAGCATTTGTTGCCAGTTTTTTTTTTTTTAAGATTTAATTTTTATTTTATGAGCATTGTGCTAAAGGGTTGGCTCAGTGGTTAAGAGCACTGGCTGTTCTTCCAGAGGGATTGGGATCAATTCCTAGCACCGACATAGTGGCTCACAACCATCTGTGACTCCAGGCTTAGGGGATCCAAGGGCATTGCATGCACATGGCGCACAGACATACATGTGGGCAAACACCCACACACAATTTTTTTTAAACTTCCAAAAATAATTCATGAATATTTTGCCTCTGAATCATGTGAGTGTCTGGTGCCCACAGAGGCCAGATGAAGGTTTCAGATCCCCTGGAACTGGAGTTAAGGATGGGTGTAAGCTGCAGTGTGGGTTCTGAGAAGCAGGCCTGGGTCTTCTTCAAGAGCAGCCAGTGCTCTTAACCACTGAGCCATCTTTCTCCACCCATACTTTCAGTTTCTTCTTCTTCTTCTTCTTCTTCTTCTTCTTCTTCTTCTTCTTCTTCTTCTTCTTCTCCTCCTCCTCCCCCTCCTCCTCCTTTCTTCTTCCTCTTCTTTTTTGAGACAGGGTTTCTCTGTGTAGTCCTGGCTGTCCTGGAGCTTGCTCTGTAGACCAGGCTGGCCTCGAACTCACAGAGATCTGCCTACCTCTGCCTCTGAGTGCTAGGATTAAAGGCATGTGCCACCAACACCTGGCTCTATTAGCCCATTTTTAAATAGGCAGTTGTATTTCTTTAAGTATTAAAGCTGTCTTTTTTTCTTTTTTGTAACTTCTGGATATCAGTCCCCTGTCTGAGGTGTAGCTCCAGATCTCCCATTCTGTGGATGCCTGTGTGCTCTGCTGTTTCTTTAGCTGTGAAGAAACTTATATTTCATGTGGTTCCATCCATTGATGGTTCCTTTTCTTATCCTCTAGATATTCATAGCAATCTAGGGCCCAGGGTGTGTCAGAACCTCTCAGTGGCCTCTTCACTACCAAGAGGTTTTCTGGTTCATTCTTGCAACGTCCACAGTTATTTATGCTTTTCCTCTGTCACAACCCTGGTTATGAAACCAGTTGGGCACACATCCCTCTGTCTAAGACACACTCGGGGCCCCAGGGAGCTCGAAGTTTTTGTATGAGGCCAACAGAAGAAGAATCTGGGATGCTCACCTATGTAAAGGAACTTGGAGTCTAGGAAAATAACATGACATGGGGCTGGGGGCATGACTTGGTGGTAGAGCATCTGCCTAGAATCCCCCAGTGAGGGGCTGGGGGCTTGGTTCAGTGGTAAAGCACTTACTAGCTATGTCCTAGCTCAGAACCCATTCATCTGCAGCACTGAAACAAAACAAAACAATCTCTGCCCCCCAACAAAACTCCCCCAAAAGAATCTGTATAATGGAACCTCCAGGGCATAGCCAACCCCTATTGACCTCTACTGATAGGTGCATTCTCTACCCAGAAGCCATTGGACAGTTGGGTAGCTCATGCTCTGGAGCCAAAAATTTGGATTAGGGTCCAATTCTGTCATTCACAGAATTGTGTGCCTTCAGCTGGTTGGTCAAGTTCTTTTTAACCTATAAATGTCTGGATACCATGTAGTCATTTCAGAGTCAGAATATTTCTGCATGTTGTTCTATAGGAAGTGGAATTGGAAATAGAGGAGAAATGAAAAGAATATAAATTAGCCATTTCAGAAGCTGCTGAGATAGATGGCTTAGGGTTAAAGGTACTTGCTGCCAAGCCTGAGAACCTCAGTTCGATGTCTGAACCTACATGGTGGAGAAACCAATCCAGCAAATTGTCCTGTGCCCTCATTATGCACAACACACACACACACACACACACACAAACAGATTTAAAAGGAACAGAAAATTCTGGTTGTCTCAAGCATCATCATCACTAGACCATGGAAACTGACTTTGGGTAACCCTGTTCCTTAGACAGATGCCTAGAAGAAGGTTTGGTTTGTGGGGTCATCAGGAAGGTGTATCTGTGTGTGTGGTACATTGCCTGACATGGTTTTGTCACATCCCACACATTTCGACATATCTGGGAAGAGGTAACGTTAATTAAGAAATTACCTCCATCAGATTGGCCCTATGGGCATGTCTGTGGGCGCATAGTCTTGATTGTTCGTTGACATGGGAGGACCCATCTGGATGTGGGTGGTGTTACTACTGGGCCAGTGAGCCTGGGTTTTATCAGAAAGTAGGTTGAGCAAGCCAGGGGAAGCAAGCCAGGTCTTCATTGATCTGCTTCATTTCCTGCCTTCAAGCTCCTGCCTTGATTTCCCTGGGTGATGGAATGTAACCTGTAAGCTGGAATACCCACTCCCTACTCCCAGTCCCACCCCTGACAAATTGCTTTTGGCCATTGTTATCACAGCAATGGAAAGCAAGCTAGAACAGCACCTGTGTGTGTGCAGTTACGTGTGCCCATGTACCCACGCAGAGGTAAAGGCCTGGAGTGCCCTAATCTATCACATTCTATGTTATTCCCTTCAGAGAGGGGTCTCCACTTGAACCTGGAGCTAGGCTGGTGGCCAGCAAATTCCATCAGGCCTCCTGGTTCTACTCCTCCTCTCTCCTCAACACTGACGGTATAGGTATGCATGGAGCCAGGCCCAGCCTTTTACATAGTTGCTGGGATTCAAACTTGGATCCTTAATGCTTTCTCAGCAAGCATTACTCTTCCCCACTGGGCCATCTGCAAGCCTTCCCTGAAAACCCTGGAAAGAATTATATTTCACTGCCAGACAGCTTCTCAAAGAGGCAGCACAATGTTGCACTTCCACCTGCAATGGA